AGCAGGGTGATATCTGTGATGCAAGGTTTACGTGGGCGATATTTCACAAAGCCTGCTGAAGAGAGGGCGTGCGAATGGTGCAGGAGATCGTTCTGGAAGGTGAGACGGTGCTTTAACCATCACTCGCCAAAAATGACCATTACCAAAACGCATTAAAAGTTGTAACAAAAACCTCTCAAAGCGTAATGCTTATCTGGGTGCGCTGAAACTGATGAATGTTGGAGGACAATGGATTTAACTTACGGCGATTCGCAGGCCGAATGGATTGCTGAACAATTACCCACCAAAAACGCTCAAGAAGATCACAGTAGCACGACATGCATTCGTGATTAGCCCACAACGAGGATAAGTTGGTAAAGAATATTCCACAATCGACGTATCTGAACAGTTCACGTGCAACCTCCTTCATCTACATCTTCTATAGACCATTCTACTTTCGGTTCGCGAACGCAGACGCGTTAGAAAGATCTTCCAATGATTCCACTACTGTCCTCAGCTTCGGCAGAAGATAAATTGACTCTGAAACAAACTCCTTCCATATATTTGCACCAGGATAATCTTGGTCGTCCCCTGGGCCTTCTGCCAGTCGATTTGGCAAGAACAGCTTTTCTTTCTGGAGGCACTCGCAACACATACCCAAACCATAGCAGTTGTAACTTCTCAATCTGAAAAAGCAGAGGCTGCACATCAAGGCTCTTCTGGTTGTCTATATTCTGGATCAAATCGAGACGCGTAAGGCCAACGACTCGTCTAAGAAAGCCCATTTCAGCAGCTTGTACCCGGGTTCGAAGCTTTTCAGTCATGGTCCACAACTAATGACCGTAGGTCAGCATAGGTATAAAGATCGACTTGAACACCGAGAGCTTAGTTTCCAGACTGAGCTCTGCTTTAGTCCAATGGATCGGGTTCACGCAGAACGCCACTGGCTACTCCAATTCGCTGGTCGATCTCTTCCCCAAATTTTCCATCACTAGTAAATACGACTCTGAGGAATCTGAACCTCTCCACCTGCTCCACTGTCTCTCCGTTAATCTGAAGAGAGCAACGGGCAGGAGAACGTATAAACTTCCTCAGGGCGAATTTTGTTTCGATATTGAAAGTCTCTGAAATACAGATTAACGCATTAATTGTGGTTTATTGTCCTGATTAACCCATAATATGACGTCATATCACATAAACAGTATTTGATTAGAGCATTACATTTTTAGTGTGATTACGTAAAGAACTAACTGCTCAGTTTATGAAAGCGAAATAAACTTCTCGCTAAATGGACGCCACAATAAAATCTAGAATAAATAAAAGCTTACACTCTCTAGCTATATAAGAAAATATACCAGGCATACCACTGTTATGTTATAAACAGCCATCATGATTACGTCTGCATCATGAAAATGTGCCCCCCCCCCTTGCCGTGTGTATGTCGCAGCTAACCAATGGAACCGCTATCCAACTAAAGTAACAACTGAAAGCAGCGCAAAGCGTGTAAATAAACTCAGGAAGTCACTAACGGAACTGAAAAAGCAACGAAAAATTACTCCGTGAAACTAAATGAAAACGAACAAGCTAAGGAATCTGAGCACTGTCATCTCTGGATGAACTGAGAACTTTTCACTCAATTTTTCAGTTCCAACCTTCTGGACCTCAAAGATGGGTTGAAAATTTCTCTCAGGCATTAATACGACCACGTATGCAAAAGTAAAGATTGTGATTTTCGTCAGCTTGCGGTTGGCAAACTGTGCTGATGATGATTCCCAATGTAAAGAATGCTGAACCTCAAATCACGAGGGCGAAAGCTGGCTATTGGCAGGCGTATGCCCCCATTTAGAGTCATTTAAGAAATCACTCCTGAAGGAATTTGCTGTCTCGAAAAGGAAACCTGACATGGAATCCAATCTTTTGATAGTGAATTTAAACCCCACTTGCCACAATCGACAACAAGGGGTGAAAGCGCCATCAGAAAGAACGGTAACCTGGATATAGGCTGAAATAATATGAAATTGCTCCATTTCTGACAGATGTTTCTTCTATAATGATCAGTTAAGCAAATATAACTAATATCCAGTGGCATGCCATTCACAAAGCCTCAAATACTTCTTATTGGACCCATTTCCAGATCTAACGTTCTTATGGCACCGTCATGTGAGGATATCTTTTTATTTCATGTAAAATACCAACTCCGCTGATGCCATTCTAAAGTCCAGAAGGGAAAGAAGAATGGCTGGAGAACGTTGAGAGGTCTCCCGTAAAACGCAACCACCTGCTCCTGATGGTACTGCTGCCATCGAATGCTACACCGGCTCAACTATCACCAGGGTTAACAATTACCACGTAGGCTGTCGTAAAACTAAGGCAGATAAAGATATCGGCCATCAGAACCTGTTCCACACCTTCTGGAAGCTGAAAGGGACATAGCAACAAAGCGACAGCTCACGAAGATATCATTCACCAAAAGAGCCGCTACCCTTTCTGAACAGAGGATGCAGATAATACGATGCCATTGAGCACGTCAGACAGGATTCTGTGGGAGCGACACCGACAGTGTGAGCTCATAACCAGAAACGAACATTTTCTCACTTGGATGAAAAGAGGTGTATATCGTTAATGAGGTCGAAAGATACTGACTAAATATATTAAAACTCTCGTCAGCGAGGCGCAACGGTTCTGGAACTCTGAATCTCTGCGAGCGGAATCTATTCTACGCAGGTATCGACTCCACGACACGCGCTCAGTACGAAGTTGCAGTACAAACCAACCTGGATGACAGAATCACCGAATGGAAGCATGCCAGCAAAAAGCGGCAATCTTCGGACAGAAGTTGCAACAAATAAAACATGCAGAAAAATTGACCTTGTTACATGTCTAAGCGCCAATCTGGGAAGGAGAGTAGGAGTTCTTGCAGGAATAAGTTAACGGGGCTCTGTATGAAATGCCAACTACGGAATACATCATTCTAATGGGCGATTTCAGTGCGCATGTTCAGGTAGTCTGAAAAGCGGAAAGGTGTGATTGGAATGAACGGAACCTCAACAATAACGGCTGAGGTTCTTGCGGTTTTGTGCAAACAACAGGCTGTCTGTTATGAACACCCTCTTCGAGCATCGAAGCGTGCATCAGTACACTTAGTATAGGGAAGCCTGTACAAACAAGTCGATGATCGATTTGATAATCGTATCGTCTGACTCGACGCTCTGTAATGGATGTTCGAGTTAGGAGAGGCCTAGAGCCGTAAACCGATCACTACCTTGTTGTTGACACCCTCCGCTGCGAAAGATGTTGGACCATTTAAAGACCAGATGGAAGAAGAACCAGAGAATAAATGGGAAATATTATCTTCCGCGAATAGAAAGCGAAACTTGCAAACAGCATCGCACAACCGTCTGAACAAATTCCAGTGATAATGACTGAGGTAGAAGCCGAGTGAAAGCGTAGGCGTGGCTCAGTCGGGATTGCCGCCGAAGGCAGTGGCTGGCCTTCTGCCTGAGAAACAAAAACGAACTTCCTGGTCGACACCAATGGTTCAACTGGCTATCAGCGAGAAGAACATTAAATTCAAAAGGTGGCCTGGAAACAAAGAACCTTCAACTCGAAAGCGGTAAGAAGCGCGCAAGGCGGCAGCGAGAACTGATTCCTGGAAAAAGTCAGTCAAAAGCTGACGTCGAATTTCCAGACGGCACATAAGGTATTCTGGCAGACCATCCGCCATTTCTTATATCGAAAAAAGGACAGCGTAAGAGTCCTGAAGGAGAAATCTAGACGCCTTCTGACAAGGAAGAGGACATACTTTGGAAATGAAGAGCAGTTTAAGGAACTCCTTAATCCGGAACAACTACAGAGAGACTCGCTTGAGGAACAGCGATCATCAAATATTAGACTTTCAGTAGATGAAGTTACAAAAGTAGCAGAAAGCTTTAGAAATGACAAAGCAGAAGGAATCGATGAAGTCCGCCCCGAGTTGTTTAAAGCTTGAGACCAACAACATATGATGTAGCTAACCTGTATCTATCAACTGGCAATGACTACGGGGAAAAACTAGATGACGAGGGTGGTAGTATCCTCGCGTAAAACGGGAGAGCATATCTTCAGTTATCGGCATTACTTTACTGAGTCTCCAGAGAAAAGTCTAGGCAAAGATGATGGAAAGGAGGAGCCACAGAATAACTAAATCCATGCCTCAAGAAGAGCAGTATAGCTTCAGGTAAAGCCTCTTATCCCATCTCTTATCATATCTTCATCCTGCGCCACACTGCTGAAAAATGGTGGTAGTTCGCTCATTTGGACTACATGTAGTTTGTTGATCTGGAGGAAACTCATGACCAGATACACCGCAACAAGATGTGGGCGTGCCTGCAGACGTTGGGATCGATAACCACTTGTTACATATTGGTGCAGGTGTTGCGTCAGAGTAAACGCGCAAGTCGAGAACTTCCGGCGTTGGCACAGGTCACCGCCAAGGCTGCGATCTGTCCCCCCTCCTGTATGCGCTGTACATGGAGAGAACAGTCAGGCGCCGCCAAGGCGACAAGTGTATCAGCGTAGGTGATATCAAGAGGAGAAAGTTGCTTTATGCAGACGATACGATCTTATTTCGTTGGCATCTTTTGAAACTGATCTACAGCTCTCTGGAACGGCTCGCAGCTGACTACGACGTAACCGGGATGCGCGTGAACGTGTTTAAAACGAGAAGCTTAGTGCTTTCCCGTTCTCCTGTCTAATGAGCTCTATAGATAAAAAGAAAACGAACGTGGAGCAGGCGGAAAAGTTCACAAACCTCAAGGTTGTGTTTAATGGTGATGGAAGATTGGAGGACGAGATCGACCGGCTAACTGGAATGGTCAACGGCGTTTCGCGTGAATTAGCCCGAACCGTTGTGACTAAATCAAGCTGAGTCTGAAGACTAGCTGTCCGTGTTCCAGTCGATCTTCATGCTCATGCTCACCTATGGTTATGAGACGTGGACCATGACAAAAGAACTTCAATCTCGGGTACAACGAGTTAAAACAGGTTTCCTAAGACGAATCGCTGAACTCACGCGTTACGACAAAAATTGGCGTACAGATATCTGAAATAGTTTTGGTGTACAGCCGCTGCTTATCTTGATTGAGAAGCCACGTTTGCAATGGTTTGGATACGTGTTGCGAGGGCCTTCAGAAAAAAGGCGAAACAGTTATCTGCTCAACTGACCAGCCGAAGACCCCGGGGACGGCCAAGAATAGCCTGGGCCAACTGTCTCAAACTCTGCTGAAGACTCAGATTGCCCTGTGTCGAAGCTCAAATGTTGGCAGGGATCGGGGATGTTGGAGACCTGGGTGACACGTCTACCTTTGCAAGTGACGCAGCATACTTTTGAGGTTCTGCATGTCTTCAATGATTTGAGTATGTTCTTCATAGATGATACCTCAACTATGGATGACTGCTATGAAAACTGCAACGACGAGCTGAACAGGTAATCGCATCCAGTGGATGCTCATCTCCGTTTTCTCTTGGGACAAATATGCTTAACAGAAAGAGAAATCTACAATAAAATTGGGTAGAAAAAACAGGAACAATAATCTGTAATGATATCTGTTAAGGTTAGAATGAATTTTCAGTATGATTCATTTGTCAACGTACACTGTTAAGTGCATAATGGTTCGCTAAGACGAATTGAACCGTTGGAGGAAATTCATCCAATATAGTTATTAAACGGTTCCATTTTATATCGTTACAGATAATATTCACTTCAAAACAAGAGGCAGCGGTTTTCCTCCTATTTCTTCCCTAAATTTAATTCCCTTGTCCATCAGAAGATTGACAAATGTCAAATTAAATCTTTAATCAATATCACGGCATGCTGAAAGCTTCTTATCACTTGCAGAAAGAGAGCCGCCATTCCGGAAGACTTTCTTTAAACTGGACCAGAGCGGACGAAATTTCTGACGGTACGAATTCGCGAAATCCTATAAAATGAAAATGAATTAAATCATTGTTGAAGAAATTCCAAGAATCACTTACACTTTCAAAATTCGAACAGATAAAAAAAAACTTCTACGTCTGATTCAACTAATAAGAACTGGGCGACAAACTGACAACATAGCAAAGATGTCATCTATCAAGCGTATATTCTAAACCCTTCGAACTGATTTCTTCAAAAAGCTTTTATCGCATACTGAAGCACAGCACTCAACTACTAGGTGCAAAATATGGATCACAAATTTATTTTTAATGCGCGAAGACTTTGTTAAAAGAACGCTAAGCTACAATGAAGCATTTCATACTCTGTGAGTTCCACGTTCAAGCCCTTGATGATTATGATGTCTACAACAAAATAAAAGACGAAAAACAAATAAACAGAGGGAGAAACTGGAGCAAAAAAATAATGAAGACAAAGGGTATGGTGGCGACGACCATAACGATTAAGATGATTGTGACGGTGAAGATGGAATATTTGTTCGTACGTTGGTAATTACCGCGACCCGAAAGGAAAAGCGGCGATGGAAGATGAAGATAAAGATGCATTGGTAATTACATTGAAAAGATAGTTACGTATTCTAATTCAACACATTACAGTAATCATTATACGAAACATTAATAAACTGAGAATTTTTTCATGAAAATGGCGATTTCATCTTCATTTCTCATGGCCGCCTCTCCTTTCGGGTCGCGGAGGCACATGCGTCACACAAAGTCTCCAACGTTAAAGAAGCTGTGCCATAGTCTCAGCTTCGGCAGAAAATAACAGGATTTTGAAACAGACTCCTTCCATACATTTGCACCAGGTCAATCTTGGCCGTCCTTTGGGCCTTCTATAAATCGGCTCCGCAAGAAACAGCTACTTAGCCTTCCTTCATGGAGGCACTCGTAACACATGCCAAAACCATCGCAGCTGTGACTTCTCATCAGGAGAAACAGCGGCTGTACATCAAGGCACTCCCGGATGTCTGTATTCCGGAGAGCATGTCGAGATGCGTATGGCCAGTGACTCACCTAAGAAAGCCCATTTCACCAGCCAGTACACGGGTTCGAAGCCTTTCAGTCATCGTCAACGACTGCATGAGAGGTAAGCATTGAGACAAAAATCACTTTGAACACCGAGAGCTCAGTTTCCAGACTCACCAATGCTTTAGTCGCAATGGGTTGTGCTAGTTCATTCAGAAAGCCACTGGCTACTCCAATTCGCCGGTCGATCTCTTCCTCCAATTATCCATCGCTAGTAAATACAGTTCCGAGGTGCTTAAACTTCTCCACCTGCTCCACTGCCTCTCCGTTG